CTGTATCTTATGGGGACACAAAGAAAATTTTAGGATCATGGAATAGTCCATGAGGCTGTATCGTCTGAGCCAGTTGCCTTGAAATGATTCTGGATGTTGGATCATCTGGGCCATGGTGTCATTGGAGACCTTTCAGGTGGTGTTGGCTGGTCAAACCTGATGTATCTTAATCTGGAGCAAATCCATAGCATCTGGCTTTCTGTAGAAACAAAAGCAGAGCCTCTTTTCCAAAGCAACATATCCTTATAGCCAAATTATAAGGCAAGGTACCTTTAAAATATACATTTTGGTATAACTCAACAGCTTTTGCAATCAAATGTTTTTCTTCAGTTACAAATATCAAAGAGAACACAATCCAGATTCTCTGTGTGGTAGCCATCTTTACATGGCTTATGTTTTATATTACCTTGAGCCTATTGCTTTAAACTGCAGCCTTCTAAGACTGAAAAGGCGCTGCGGCTGCTGGCTCGGCCCACTTCAGCTTCCCATCATGTAGGTGGTACGTTTTCTGCCAGCTTTGGGAGCCATCAATTCTCAGAAATAGTGGGTCTATGCTTCTTATCAAAGCAGCGTGTAGCCCAGAAACCTCTTTTTGTTTTGTACTAGCAAAGGCTAAATCCACCATGCAGCTTAATGTGCCACGTGCAGAGGCCTCATTCCCTCCATACTGCAGGTCAAGCACACACGCCAGGAACCTGCCAGTAACTCAAACCAGCAGCTGCTGCTCATTTGAGAGAGACAATTAGGAAGCTGTTTTTAGCTCCATTTTAGAATCTTTTCTCAGGTTTTATGTGGAAACTCTTGCCCTCTCATTGGGCACCATTTGTTGCTAGAGTTTTCCTGCCTTGCCCACAGTCTGGACAAATCTTTGTCACCCGCCAGTCCCACAGCTGCTCAGACCCAACCAAGTAAACACAGAGACTTATATTGCTTACAAGCTGTATGGCCGTGGCAGGCTTCTTGCTAACTCTTCTTATATCTTAAATTAATCCATTTCCATAAATCTATATCTTGCCACATGGCTGGTGGCTTATTGGTGTCTGCACATGCTTCTTGTCATGGCGGCAGCTGGCAGTATCTCTCTGCCACAGCCTTCCACTTCCCAGAATTCTCCTCTCTCCTTGTTCCACCTACTTCCTGCCTGGCCACTGGCCAATCAGTGTTTTATTTATTGACCAATCAG